ACACACACACACACACACACACACACACACACACACACAAAACCTGTCTCAAAAAGAAAAACAGTTGTAGGAGAATCAGTATGAAGATACCACTTACTGTGACAGTGTAATGTTCATTTAAAAAAAGTTAAAGAGAAACTGCTTTTGGAAATAGGTGACATATCTTAAGAGAGAGAGCCTACTGTTGGTGACTTAATGTACAAAATATTGTATTCACTCCACAAATGTGAAACAAATAGAAAGACTTCCTATGTAATACACAAGTTTCTACTAATAACATGAATTAATTTCATTTATTTGTCTCCAAGAATTATGAGGCAGTGGACATGTTTTGTAAAAAGGGTTGGGAACATTGATGGTGGAACATTGCCTAGCATGAACAAGGCCACGAGTTCGGTCACTAGATGGTAAAGAAAAAGTGAATACATAGGACATGAGCTCCAATTTAAAGATCCTTATCATGTTTACTACATTAGCTGGACAGCAATAATGTACTTCCAGTAGTTTATTTAGCAACATTAGTTAATAAGAAAGCTAGATGACTTGTGGAAACCTTTTGTATACATTTCAAATATAGTGCTTTTTTTTATTTCTCCTAAGTACAAAGAAACTGCAGATGACATATCAGTGCTGGTAAGTTTCTATTTAAAAAATATGGTATGACCTGCCTTTGAGGACAAAGTTGGATGAAAGGTTTGGGCTACTCATGAATCCATGTTTCCTTCAGTCAGACTAAACCAGCAAACACATGTTTACAAACACATTGGTGATAATTAAATTTGGAATGCCAGGAATCAAAGACAAAGCAGATGGGAAGAGTACCATATCAGATGGAGGGGTGGGAATTACTAGGAGAATATATCAGCAGAAGGCAGAATTTAGGCCCTGCTGGGGCTGACTCTTAACCAGCTCAGTGATTAAGAGCACTAGCTGCTCTTCCAGAGGACCTGCGTTCAATTCCCAGCAACCACATGGAGGCTTGCAACCATCTACAGTGGGGTCTGGTGCCCTCTTCTGGAATAAAGGAGTACATGAAGATAGAGCACTCATATACATAACATAATAAAATCTTTTTTAAAAAAAAAGTACATTTAGACAATAGAGTACTACTCAGCGGAAAAAAGCAATGGAACCTTGAAATTTGCAGGCAAATGGGTGGAACTAGAAGAAACCATTCTGAGAGAGGTAACCCAGTCACAAAAAGACAAACATGGTATGCACTCACTCATATATGGATTTTAGACATAGAGTAAAGGATTGCCAGCTTACAATCCACACTGCCAGAGAAGCTAGGAAACAAGGAGAACTCTAAAAGAGACATCCATGGTCCCCCGGAGAAGGGGAAAGGGACAAGATCTCCTGAGCATATATATTGGGAGCTGGGGGGAGCGGAGAGGGAGCTAGGGGAATGAGAAGGGAAGAAAAAGGGGGTGAGGAGGACATAAGGAAGCAGGAAGGTTGTGTAGGGGGAAGAATAGAGGAGAGCAAAATAAGAGATACCATTAGAGAGGGAGCCATCATAGGTTTAAAGAGAATTCAGACACTAGGGAAATTTCCAGAGATCTACAAGGATGACACCAACTAACAATCTAAGCAACAATGGAGAGGCTACCTTAAATGCCCTCCTCTGATAATGAGATTGACGACTACCTTATATGCCATCCTAGAGCCTTCATCCAGCAGCTAGTAGAAGCAGAAGCAGATACCCACAGCTAAACACTAAACTGGACTGGAATCCAGTTGCAGAGGAGGAGGCGTGATGAGCAAAGGGGTCCAGACCAGGCTGATGAAACACACAGAGACAGCTGACCTGAACAAGGGGGGAACTCTTGGTCCCCAGACTGGTAGCTGGGAAACCAGCATGAAACTGATCCAGACCCCATGAATGTGGGTGTCAGTCTTCCAGGTTGGGGATATAGCTCAAACAGTAAGGCCAGTCAGGAAGTTATCACAATAACCCAGAAAGAGATGGTGATGAGTTGAGGACACTGGTGGTAGAGGATAGAGCTAGCTGAAGCCACAGGATTTAATGGTGGGCTTCCAGGAGTGACTCTATTGTTAGGACTTGCCAATGCACACAGGTTTAGTGAGATAAAGTCTTCAAACAGGAGGGACCTGGAAGTGAGATAATGACTTCACCATTAAACACTTTACTGGATGGTGTCTAAAACACTCAAGTCCATAGTTAGCTTGGTAGCTGATAAAGTAGTGACTACCTACTGTTCAGTCACAAGCTCAAGGTATTTACGCTTATTTTGGTTATCATCTAAGTATAAACTTAAAGGGCTTTTCATCAGGCCGAAGGCACCTCTGTCCAATCCATACCTGCTCTCTGGACAGCAGACAAATATACATGCTTCTAGCCCAAATCTGTAGTTTTGCTAGGACTCAAAGTTATAAATATGTTCCTGCTGTTTGAACAGATATCCAGATAATCTATTTTTTTTTTGCACTCTGGGTTTCAATAAATAAGTTTTAACTTCTGTTCCCAGTTTAAAGGCCTAAATTCCCTTTTTACTTTTGACTAGCATTTCAGCCTTCTTGGGTCCCTAACTTCATCCCAAAGTCAGCAGGAAGTAGCTTGGAAAAGAACATTTTCCCTGGTTGAAATGCTAAGTCAAAATGAACTCCCTTACATAGGCAATGTCACTAGGAGGGCAGTTCCCTGCCCATTTGGGCAGCCATGACAGTAACACTTGCTTGCCTGACCTTGCCTTGGTCATGAGGAGGTCAGATGCCTGCTCGTGGCAAGGAACCAATCAGAAGTTAGCTGGTGGTGCTATGCTTTACGGCTCTGGGTGTGCTTTAGGAACAAGTGCACAGCAATGACATGCAGAGCATAGCAACCACCCTGGGAGGGCCTATGGGCCATAACAACCAGTTGGCCAATCAACACAGGGCAAGTCCTCCAAGCCTGAGCCTGTGCGTACCCCTAGACACTCCCCTTATACTGCCCTATAAGATCTCTATCCCGTGGCTTCTCAGCGTCTTTCCCCAGCCATCTGCCATGGTGGGTGGATGAAAGGCCCAAGCTAATGGGGCTAGCTTGTTAAACAACTGCAATAAAGCCTCGTGCTGTTTGCATCAAAAATAAATAAATAAATAAAACACTCAAGTCCTCCAGAAAGGCTGCTGAATATCCAAGTGTTAAGTTCATTGAGAAGTTCAAGTTGTATGTAAACAGCAGCAGCAACAACAAAAAAACAGAAGCCACAAAAGAATGACAAGAAAATGTCATGTAGAGAAACAGAAGGACTCAGAGAAACCCTCATGAAAATTACTGTCAAGTCTCAGATGAAGACTCCTCAGCAAATAAAATGTTTAAGGCTCATATAAGAAAGAAAATGGGTCTCTTTCCACTGTTTAAAAAACAAAAACAATAACAAAAACTCAGGGCAAGTCTAGGGAGCCCAATTTCTGTGAGTTCATGGCCAGCCAGGGCTACATAGTAAGACCCTGACTCAAATAAAACAAACAAAATTCCAGAAAATTCAGAGCCAGAGGTAAACTTGCAAGTGAGATGACAGGAAGCTGAGGGAACTTTAGATTCTCCCTGAACTAGATGAGTGGGTCAGAGACCCAAGGAAACCCATGAAGGCAGGTGGGAAGCAGTTTCCATACCAATGCTATTGGAACTCATTAGTATTGCTCATTGTGAATTTTATAATTTTTCTATCTTTCTTTTAGGTCTGTGAAAAGCCAGTCAGAACTACAGATAACATCAAACTGGTTTAATTACATGTAAGAATGCAAACCTTGCATCTGTGAGGTTAATTCATAAATGCTGATAGGTGGCTCCAGTGGCAGTGTTGGGAGTGTGGATGCCGAGTGCCAAGGAGGCAGGAAACGGGCACTGGACCCCCTGGAATTGGAGTTACAGCCACCATGTGGTGCTGGTAGCAGACTGGAGTCCTCCACCAGAGAAAGCGTCAAGTGTTCCAACCACTGGGCCAAGGCCCCAGTGCCAATTCTGGGCAATCTTGCTGCTTAAAAGCTTGTCTACAGCTGTCTCCATCAAGTGAAATAGATAATCTGCTATTGTGTGTATGAAACACACTTGTACATAAAATAATAAGCCTGCTTGCAGTCATTAATCCTGCTTCCCAAGTTTGTAAGAAGTCTAACTGAAAGTTCTTAGATGGTTCAGGTTTTCTGTGAAAAGTGAAGGCCAACATATAAAAGGGCCTATCGGTTAGCTATCCCTGACATCCTTATGTGTTTCTATCTTAGTGTACCAGTCCCCCAACATGTAAAGTGTGGGGAAACACTATGCTAAGTGCTTCATTCAAACTACAATTGTTGATAATAATAGTCTTTATCTTAGTGTACCAGTCCCCCAACATGTAAAGTGTGGGGAAACACTATGCCAAGTGCTTCATTCAAACTACAATTGTTGATAATCTTCAGGCCTAAGTATATTCTAATTATACTTGGTCATCATTCTGAGCACAAATAATTAGATGTGCCCAAGTGCTTTGCGTTCCAAGTCGTGCCACTCCAATAGTGATGAGGATTAGGGTCACCAGGAAATTCCATTCTCCATGTGAGAATGGAACTTCTAAAACAGAAGAAGGTTTCATCCCCAGGAAAAGGGACTTCAATACAGCCCTGATCTTACGCACAGGACAAATCTGCACGTGCGCATTCCCTGGCTTTCTTTTCGTGTTTTCTTAACTGTAAGCACATACTTTCATGACAGTCTGGTCTGCCGCCACCTTCTTCCCTTTCCTTCCCCCTCTCTTTTTTTGTGTGTAAATTATATACATGTGGGGATGTGATTATGCACATGAGTGTAGTGACCATAGAGGCCAGAAGAGGGCATTGGATCCCCTGGAGTTACAGATGGTTGGGAGCCACCCCAGTGCTGGGAACTAAACTGTGGTCCTTTGCAAGAACAATACACACTTTTAGTGGCAGGACCATCTTTCTAGTCCCCTCTTTTCTTTCTTTCCTTTGATTATTTATGTTTCTATAGATTTTCTTAAAACCCAGTCTCAATCTGTAGCCCATGGTGATCTTGACCCCATGGTTGCCTCATCCTCCTGATGATTTGGCTGTTTCTAACATGATGCTTCTCTGGTTTATCAGAACTGTCAAGGCTTTGGGTTAGACACAACGGGATGCTGCCTTCAGATACAAGGCATTGGGTATTGACAGTAACCCTCCTGATGCCACAATGGTGTGTTTTAGTTTAAAATTCTGTCTTTCTTACAGATACGACAGGAACTCAATACACAAATATATGAGAACTACCAACTGGTCAGCTCCAATTGTGTGGACTGACACTTACAATCAGTCAGCCTTGAAAAAGTATTATGAAAAGCACCCAGTTACTGTGGGGCTGGTTGTGTTTGCAGTGGGAAGGTAGGTAATAATGTCAAGTGTCCTTTACAGTCAGGCTTTTCATTGTAGAAAGTGGGAGATAAGCTACTTTAGAATTATTCTCTCTAAGCCAATTATTGCCGTAATTCAAAATACCTCCTACTTAGTACACACGAAAGCATCTCAATTACTTAGTTTCCTTTTATGATCTGATTTCATGGTCTTCCCTCCAATATTAACATAATTTCATGTGTCTTTTACCAATCATCTTAATGGAAGTTTATATCTCTGTTATAACCACTCCTCATTATCTCTGCACTTAATCCAGTAATTTCTTATCTCCTGTGTACCCCCAGGTGATAAGTAATTGCCTTCAGAAAATCTCACTTAACTCTGCATATTTACTTTCAGAGGAATGTACTGAAATAAGGTAGCTGCAATTTTATGCATCAGGATTTTTATATGCTACATTTTCTGACTACTAATCATAAAGTTAAAAAGCCAAGCATATAGCCATTCCTTTATTCCCAGAGTTTTGGAGGAAGAGGCAGGAAGATCTCTGCGAGTTTGAGGCTAATCTGGTCTACAGAGTACTAGGATAGCCAAGGCTACACAAAACCTGTCTGGAAAAACCAAACCAAAACAACCCCCCCCAAAAAAAACAATTAAAATCATCCAGTAACTTAAAAACAAAAGCAAATCTATGCTGAATTCCTAATCAAACAGAAAACCAAAGTCATAGAAGTCCACCACTCAAAAAGGAAAACAAATGCAATGAAGTATTTCCATTTAAAGATAGAAGGGTGTGGACCCTGTGTTGATCTGCTGTCTTCTGAAATGCTATAAACAACAAATATTCACACACAGAGAGACGGGGGACCTTTGGGTTTCGTGAAATTGGGATATGCTGCAATCAAACATGACATTTTGAAGTCTATTTGCCAGACACAAAGTGTAGACCAAGTATAGGACACATCAAGTTGGACAGATGTATGTACACAGTCCTCAGACTCATAGTATGTACCAAATGTTTGAAATGCGATGAAGAGCTCTGAAGCTGCCAGTGAGGCGCAGAGGCAGCCGCTGAGGCGTGCCGCTCCATACGAGGGATGTTGCTCCGGAGAGACAGGCCCAGTCTCAGCATCATTGCTCAGGGTTAGCAGAACAACAGTGTTGTAACATAGAGATGCCAGTCTCATCCTTCCCACAGCCTCATTTATAGTACATAGTTAATATTACAAAGACCTGCATAGAACAGTCCAGGCAGCAAGCATTCTCTCTAGGTGAATGATGTATTCTCTGTGGTAGACCATGTTGAGACCACAAGATAAATAAATTGTAAAACTGAAATTAGACCAAATGTCTTCTATGATCACATTGGAATAATTTTTAAAAATCAATTATAGGATGAAATAAGGAAAATTCACAAATATGTGAATATTGTATTAAACACCACACCATTTTTTATTTAGCTTACAAAATAATTAATTTCTTTATGACACTTTCATACATGTATGTTATTGTACTATGCTCATAGTCACCTCTCATTATTCTATCTTCCACCCTACCCCACTATATTCTAATTCTGCATATGAAGTCTAAGCATGCAACATTTGTCTTTCTTCATCATCTCCTCCTGTTTTCCTCTCTCCTGTCATTAGTCCTTTTTCCAAATCTTTTTACATGTGCACCACCATATCCAACTTTATTATACTTTATTCACTAATCTGAATGATACACTCTTAAATACCCAATAACAAGATGAAGTTGTAGCTCAATTAGAAGCATGCATGCCTGGCACTCCATGTGATTCTGTCTTGGGGGAAAAGTGAGGGGTCTCATAAGTCCCTGGGCTTCAACTCCAGCACCATACATGCACATACATATGTAGATATGAATACATAATCTAACCTTTATTTTAAGAAACTGGATAAAGAAGATCAAACAACCTAAGACAAGCAAAATAAAAAAATATAAATATTGAAGTTCAAAATTAGTCCTTTACAAAAGGTCAATAGAATTGACAAACCCTTGAAAAAAGAAACAGATTAAGAAAAACTGTGACAATAAGGAGGCCTCTGCACTCCAGGGAGCCTCTGGCAGTGAATTAGTACTTTTGCCTGGTGTAAGATGGGACTTTGAGAGCCCATCCCACGTGAAAGGATACACTCTGGACCTGGACACATGGGGAAGGGCCCACCCAGGCCCAGCACAGGAAGATTTGGTGGACTTTGCAGAGCCCCTGTTGAGGGCCCTATCTGCCTGGGGAGTGGAGGGTGGATGGGGTAGGGGGTAGGTTGGGGTGGTGGAGGAGGGGTGTGGGGGTGAGGGGAGGGAGAGGGAGAAAGAATTGATATGTGAATCAAGCTTGTTCCTAATTTGAACTAATAAAAAAAATAATCTTCAAAAAAAAAAGAAAAAGAAAAAAAGCAGGGGGGAATAGAAAAGTTGGGGGTCTACCTTTAGTAACCAGCTTAAGAAGTGAAAACCCGGCTTACTTTTACAGGGGTAGATGGCTGTGTAATTCTGTGTATGTGTGTGTTTATAATTTGTGTGTGTGAATACAGATGCCACATACTGTAACATGCATGAGGATCAAAGTACAACCTCAGATATGGTCCTGCTGTCTAACTTATTTGAGGCTGGCAGTGTCTCTGTGTTGTTTTGGTTTGGTTTTTTACTGTGTCTAACAAGCTAGCTTGCCTGATGACTCCCAGGGATTCTCCTGTCTCCCTATATGTTCACTGGGATTACATACATTCCTACTACACATTCAGTTTTTTTTTTTCTCCATTTTCTAAAATTTAATTTAAATTAGAAACAAGCTTGTTTTACATGTCAATCCCCGTTCCCTCTCCCTCCCCTCCTCCCCTGCCCCCAACTAACTCCCTATCCCATACCCTTTCTGCTCCCCAGGGAGGATGAGGCCTTCCATGGGGGATCTTAAGAGTCTGTCATATCATTTGGAGCAGGGCCTAGGCCCTCCCCCATGTGTCTAGGCTGAGAGAGTATCTTTCTATGTGGAATGGGCTCCCAAAGTCCATTCATATGCTAGGGATAAATACTGATCCACTACCAGAGGCCCCATAGTTTGCTCAGGCCTCCTCACTGACACCCACATTCAGGGGGTCTGGATACACATCCAGTTTTACATAGGAATTCAAACTCAGGTCCTCCAAGTGTTTTTACCCACTGAGCCACTTCCCTAGACCCCCATTCCATTTTTAACATCAAAAGCTATTAAAGGAGATATGAGAATCAAAGAAATTTAAATACCATTTTATCGGTTGATGGTTTTGACAACCTATAATTTGCATAAGGTAACCGTTCCATCTGATACTAGCCACCTTGCTAATCTGGCTTCTTCAGAGACTTTACCCTAGTGATGCCTTGTGTCTTTCACTCAGATGTGTGCACTCCTAAGATGTGAGTGATGTGCACACGGGGGTGCACTATTGTCACTTTCTCCTATACTGCTCAAAGAGACTAGTGGGAATTCGTTCCACCAAAAGATTTGAGGTACCGGCCTTAGGGTGTGGCTTTGGTGTGCAGACATGATTCCTTATAAGGTAGAGGAGGGGTCTGGCTCTATCTTTGGGACCTGGTGGTCTGAGCATCCTGCATCAAGGCCTCCAGTGCCTCCAGGGGCAGAAGACCAGAGCGCTCTTTAGCTTCATTGTGTGAGTGCTCCCCAAATAAATATCTATTATTCTTTTATTTAGGCGTTCGTGGACTTCCTTAACCCCTCCCATTCACTTGGTGCCCGACATCCTGAACCCCAGAGCTTCCCAGGGCCCGGCCCTGTCTGGCTAGCACTGGGGACTTTGAGTCTGAGGTTCTAAGATGGAGTTGGCTATCTGGTTGCTTAGTTGCTTTGCTAGATAAGCTAGGACCAGGCAATTGAGACTATATGTTCTACCAAAACCAGAGGATGAAACTCAACTGCTTTGTATTTATTTTGCAGTTACGTTTGGTACTACTTGGGAAGCTATCTGGCATCTGCTAATACGTTCTTCATGGTCGACCAGAGGGTCGTCATCTATGTCATGTTGGATGATTTTGCCTATATGGCATTGATAACTCTGAATCGTCTCCGGACGTTTAAAATTTTTAAGATTAAACGGGAGAGGAGGTGGCAAGACATCAGTATGATGCATGAAGATTATCAGTGAGCACATCACAGAGCACATACAGAATGAGGTTGACTATGTCTTCTGCATGGATGTGAATCAGACATTCCAAGGCAGCTACGGTTTGGAGACCCTGGGAGACTCCATAGCTCAGTTACATAGCTATTGGTATAAGAAAAGCCCCAAAGACGTGCCTTATGAAAGAAATGTGTCATCAGAAGCTTACATACCAGAGGGGAAGGGAGATTTTTATTACCATGCTGCTGTTTTTGGAGGCACAGCCTCGCAGGTCCTCAAGATTACTAAAGAGTGTGCCAAAGGGATTATGAATGATAAGAAAAATAATATCGAAGCAGTTTGGCATGACGAAAGCCATTTAAACAAGTATTTCTTTCTCCATAAAC